TATATACGGTTTCACAGAAGACGCTATTAGGAGGGACAATGCACACAGTGATTATAATTCTCTAGGCTAGAAGCGAAAGCTAGTCCATTGCTTTGTCTAATGTATGCAACAACGCCTAAAAAACACCAAAAAATTCTCAAAAGAAAATGGGCACACGAACAAATGTATTTAAAGGAATGTGGAAAGACAATCATTGAGGCCAAAACGCAAAAGATCTACAAGAAATAACTTTTTCACATGCTTATGGTTCAGAAATATAGCGCATATAGGCTGAGCCGTAGATAGATATCGGTTACACAACGTGGCTATCCTGTGAATAAACTTCACTGAGCTTAATCAATAACAAAAATCACAATAAAACAACTTTGTACACGTCGTTTTATGAAGTTAGTGGTTAACACACGGAGGGTAATTTCTCATAGTTATTTAGAAATAAACCAAACAAGGCCAGGTTATGTATTCTAAACCCGGGGGCTTATAAAACTTATCCTTACCCGAATACCTAAATAAATTTGATAAAGCCCTGTCTATGGCAGAACATCAACGTTTGGCAGGATTCAACCAAGTAGGTCAGCTACGAGTACGAAAAACACTCTTCTACCCAACTCTACTTCTAATAATAATATGAATCTCAACTGTTCTATTTATTACGCTGTACTTCTATTAAGCCTTCCAGTTTGAATGGGGCATTTTATCAATAATGTTTAAGACTAACTGGCAATTAGAAATAGGCAACTTACGGTGAAATCTGGATATTCGGTAAGCTGGCCGACGAAGAGGATGTAGGTTGTGAGAGGAAGCAACTCTGATTCGACTAGAATAGCCGCTAACAAAGAGTCTAGGATGAGACACCGAAATTCTACAATGCGGTGACTGGCAGTATTGACTGCGCACGGATCCATTTCAGTCGAAGTTGTCAACGTCGGGTTATCCAGTGGCACCGAGAGTCCTACCAAGCCAAGCAGCTCTTGTAGGGTGGTCAGACGTCCTTCAACAGTGTTCAGACAGCAACTGGAGGCCTTGTTTGGGTGAACCGGTTCTTGACCCAGTTGTATGGCTGAGGAGTCTTCGACGGTGAGCAAAGCCAGACACTGAAACCCAGCATAAAGAGAAGTTCAAATCTGAAGTGAACTTTTGTAAGCCCATCCAACCATATGAATCGGATTGGGGGTGAAAACTATCTTGATTGTGAAAAGCAACAACACAACGAGGGCAAAGGGGGGTGCTCACATGCCAGGCAGCGCGGCGAATGACTGAGGAGGCATCTTTGAGGCGGTAAGCAAACGACTGGAGGACAGCTTCAGCAATATTGTCATCGGATGGGCCTAGACTGGGACTGAAACCGGTAGTTGAGGTGACACCTGCTGTGCTAACGCTCATTCCGATACCGCCGGTGACTGCACCGGCGATCAGATCGGAGGGGCGCGGAACTGGAGTCGCCGGTGGACAGCGAGCCCGGACACGTAGGCGATCAACAATGTGACACTGTAGGCGCCAGCGCTCAGCCGAGGAGAGAGAACGCACTGAGTTGTAAGAAGGCTTCTCTAGCGCTACTAAGGTGCTGCTTGTACT